GAAAGCGGTTCGGTGAAATGGCTGCGGGAGTGGAACGCAACTGTTGCAAGGTAAGAAAGATCTGAAAAAGAAGAAAAACTCCGAGGATTGAAGATTTTTCGCGTGGGCTCGCCGTAGCATGTCGGTGAGACGGGATATATGGATCAGCGGTCGCGGCCCGAGGAGTGTTCTCAAGTGGAGGAGTGCGCCTAGCGGTCGGCCGCAGCTGCTCAGCAAAAGGCTGCTGTCATGCTTGCAGTTGTTGAGAGGCCTGTGGGTTAGTCAGCGTTGGTGTCCCGGGATCGTGAGCGATCTCTGGCACGGTTGTGGTCGCTCTGGCCGGTGCGGTGGTTGTCGCGTGGTGGAGGGCCAGTCCAGTAGTGGTGAAGACGTTGTGCGTCCTCAGGTGGTGTACGTGGGGTTGGAGAAGGTGAGCGGTCTGACAGTGCCGGTGGTAAAGGGAATCCGGGTGGAGTACTGTGGAGGGCAGCTATAAGGTTGCTGGAGGAAAGTCGTGCCGAGGGATCGATGCGATATTGTCCCGGGAGGCCAGGCTGTCCGGGAACAAATTGGAGCAAACGTCGGGCTAGAGGCTGTCAACCAGGCGGTCCATTAGCATCATGTCACGTCGGTATTGGTAGAGTATGTTGTAGGCTCTGTCATCTTGGAAGTATGTTTGGTTCGGCATGGGGTCTGTGTGGAGTGGGTGGCGTCGGATGTGTTGGACAATCAGGAAAAGGATGTCGAGCGAGCAGTTGAGTGAGTGGAAGTCTGGCTGAGTGGTGATGGAGGGTGCGAGCCAACTGGGAGGTCGTCCTGGTAGGTAGTAGTCGTTGCCAGCAGCGTTAGCTGCAATGCGATCACGAGAGGAAGCCATGAGTGATGGCAAGAAGGCAAGAAGGCTGAGCGTCACGTAAATGCTGCGGGACTATGGTGAGCCTGTCAAAAAACACAAAGTGTAAATCACAACGACATGGAATCAAGTGGCATCAGTGAATGCTTGAAAGAGGTGCTCGTGAGTTCAAAAAGACCCTTAGAAAAGGTTGAAAGCAAAAAGCTCATGTGTGGGAAAGTCAAAAAGTCAAGAGGAAGTGCTGTTGAATTTATCCTGTGGCACGCCGGGGAAAGTGGGTGAAACCGATCACATGAAATAGCTGCCAATCGGCATGTCGGAAGGTAGCTCCGGATGCCTGTTCTCACTGGGCGCTCGCTCAGCAGCCGGCTGCAGTGGCAAAGCTTCATGTGGAGACGCTTCGTGTGGAGACATAGGGGTTGTCGTTGGGGAGGGTGAGAAGTCGGGCTGTGATGGTTGTGGTGGTGTGTTGGCTGGTGATGTAGGAGTAGGTGAAATGTGGTTCGGAGTGGAAGGTAGAGGTTGCGGTGGTGGTGTCATCTTCTCTGGGTCTGTGGCTGGTGGAGTGGATTCAGGCAGTTTGTTGTCTTGTATTTTTTGTAGATCTTTGAGCTCTTTCCATCGAGCTTGGCACTGCTCAACGGAGTATCCGACCCGTCGGGCAACAAAGATCCCATTGGGTCGAAGCTTGGGGTTGCCTTTGAGCTCCACTAGGCGACAATCAGCGTCACCATCCCAGGCATCCCAGTCTGCGTGTGGGTTGAGTGGTGGTGGTGGTGGTGGTGGTGCTGGTGGTGGTGGTGGTGGTTGTTTTTGCTTGCGAGCCGGTGGACGCTTGGGTGGAGGGGAAGGAGAAGGTGTGTCCTCGGAGTTGATGGAAGGCTGTGGTGGTGGGCGGACTCGTGGTCTGGGTGGTGCAGAGTCACAGGACGAGGTTGGGGAGGGCAAATTGATGGAGTATGTTGGTGCTGGTGGTAGTTGGGTAAACCGTCGGTGGAAAGTGGGATCTGCCTGGCCGATGTGGTGTAAAAAGCGAATGTGAAGGTGTGCCATGATGCCAGTTGCTTGTCGTAGGAGGTTGTGAATCTGGGAGAGCGCCACTGTCGTTTGATGTAGCAATGCATTGGTGTCCTCGCGAGGAGGTGGGTTCGTGCTGGTCATAAGTTGGGTGTGCTTGTAGGATGAGTGGTTGGAGTTCTTCGTACTTCTTAGCTGCAGCGCGGCGGCTCGGCGGCGCGGCGGCTGGTCAACGGCAGCACAACATCACGGGAGCGTGCAAACGAATTAATCACAAAACCGGGCCAAAAGTCATGCGAAATGAATTCAAATCAGCTTGAAACAGTGGAAAAACAAGTCGCGACAGAAAAGTGACAGTTCCTTTGAAAACATCCAAGTCTGAAAGGCTGGTTGTCATGTAATATCAGAGCTTGGGTGCCATGTAACATCGAAGCTTGGAGTGGCTTTTGCAAACGCCAGCATTGTTTTCGGCTGTTGGCGAAGCCAAAAGTGTGGCTGGGTGAAACAAAAGGTTGGAATGGGTGGTTGCAGGGATGTGGTATGTGGAGGGGTCATAGGTCCGGTGGGGTGGAGTTAATGGACCATGCCAGTCCTTTGACGATGGCATGGTTGGGGTGGATGACCCAGCATCTGCCTTTCTGATGAAAGACGGCTCCGCGGTGGTCGCGTAGACGGGTCATAGCCTGCTCTTCGCCGCCAGAAGTGTATTTCGTGGCGGCGCCCCATGCCAGGAGTGCGACGATGAGGGAGTGGGTATTCTTGTGGAGTTGCCAGGTATTGTGGATAATGCGAGCAAATTCGCCTTGGTCGTGTTGTTGGTTGTGGGTAATGCGGACGCCTTGAGCAAAGAATCCGGGATAGTTTGGAAACGGGCGGCGGGGATGTTCTGGAGGCTTTGGTGTTGAGGTAAGGGAGTGAAATTTCATTGTATTGGAACTGATCGTATTGCTGGGTGGCTTCATTCCACTTGACATAGGTGTATTGCCGGAAGTCAGTGATGTCTTTGTATGAGATGTTGCTGTCGAAGAGGAGGTTGGCCAGGTATTGATGTTGAGGACGGTTGGAAGCGTCGAGCTGGTCAGCATGAAAGTCAAGCCAAGTGAGGATTTGGTCCTTTGGCGATAAGGTCTGAAAGTGTTGTGTGGGTCGCCAGCGGTTGGATGGTCGACGGACCACTGGTGTGAGTGGATATTTCGAGGTGTCAGTGTTGGTATTGTCTGCTGTGGAAGCGTCTGTGTTGGGTCGTAGGTCGATCGGTTGTCTGGAGCGGCTGCGGGAAGGTGTGGAGGAGTAGGAGTATGTAGATGTGGATGGCGAACGATGTCGCCAGGAGGAACTGTGATGCTTGGTGGCCGTGGAGTGGTGGCGATGTTTGCGCCAACGGCGATGTCTGTGGCGGCCGCTTCTGTGGTGGTCAGCCTTGCGGCGGCTCTTGTGATGGTGGCGGCGGCTGCTGTGGGGCTGATGGGGGGATGGTTGGGCAGGTGAAACGGTGTTGGCTGGTGCGCCGGTGGCAGGGTCGGGGGTCACTGTGGCTGGTGGGGCCGAGGCGACGGATGGTGATGGAGAGGGTTGTGAGGCGGTGGCCGTGGTGGTTGGGTTGGGAGCTGGATTGGTAGGATCCAGTGGCGCCGGTTGCTGGTGTAGTTGTGGATCTTGTGGTGAATCACTGAGGGCCAGTTGAGGTTGTGATGGAGATTGGTGCAAAGGTTGCGTAACTGGGGGGAATGCGGAGTAAGGTTGCCAGACCCCTTGTGGCATGTGCCACTGGGGTTCTGTTGGGGTGGTAGCTGGAAGGACTTGCTGAGGTGCAGGAGGTGGTTGAATTGGGGTGGCTGTGGCGGGATCGGTAGGTGATAACTGTTGCACCAGGTAGGATGGGGGAGGTGCCGGTGGTTGATATGTGGTTTGTGGTTGTGTGGGTTGTGGCTGAGAAGGGTGTACAAGGGTCCATGTGGAGTGATTGCCATAAGGCATTGTAGCTGTTGGTGCCGAGTGAAAAGGTGTTGGAGTTGGAATTGACAAAGGTTGTGGAGCTGGAAATGTTGGATGTTGTGTGGTAATGGAAATGCCGGATGTTGTGGATAAGGAAATGCTGGCGCGGTATGTGAATGTGGCAAATGTGTTGTCGGTTGTGTTGGTGCGGTGGGCAGTGGAGGTGGTGTTGCATGTGAGTATGGCCAGGGATACTGCATGAGGCGTCCAGTGAAGGGCTGTTGAAAAACTCGTGACAGCTGTGTGGCAAAGTCTTCGCAATGGCGGCGGCGGCGGCGCGGCACGGCAGCGGAGACTGCAGCTGGTGTAATCATTCAAAATTGAAATCGTAATGCTTGTGCGGGAAGTGGGTATGTGTTGTTGTGGAGAAGTAGGAGTTGTCGTCATGTGGAAAGTTAGTATGTGGTGTGGTAGGGTGTTCATGCAAATCGAATTAAACTGTTGGAAACTCAGGTCAGATTGCTTGAGTACATATGCAAGATCATGCGGAAAATCGTGCAGAAAAATGCAAACGCTGCAAAACTGTCAGTTCCCGTGTTTAGGCCCGGCGGCCGTTGTGGCAGTTAATTCGGTGGACGTGGAGGTGACTTCCAGTGGAGTTCCTGTGAACGGTGGCGAGTTCGGTTAACGCCTTCACAATGAAACAGCGCCCCAATGACGGGGATCACACTCAGCACCCGAGTGGGACGGCTGAGCGAAACACACTCTGACAATTGTATTCAGTTAACTCAATTTCCCGATGGGAAGGAAGGTGACAGAACCGCATGGTGAAAGGTCCGAAAACTTGTAGGTGTTTCAAATGTTGTTCAAGTCTGCAGAGACGATCGGTCACTCGGTCGGCGCAGCGCGGTTGCAAGTCGGCTGTAAGGCTGCGGTGAGTTTGGGGGTGGTGGCATGAAAAACCATGAAACCAACAAACAGCGGCAGGGTGGACCATTGGAGTCAGTGTGTTGATCTGCAGGTACAGGATCAAGCGTCCTTGATCCCTTCCCATCTGTGGTCGTAGCTTCGTTGCGTGCAGTGGGCCACAGATGCTGCACGCCCCTGCGTGTGAAACAGTGGTGGAAATGGTGGTGGTGGTGGTGAACCCTTGGCCCAGGGGTTGACACACACACACACACGCACACACACACATTGCACGTAGATGGCAACTGTCCTCATCCAAAGATCCAGTGATCATGGTGACCTTGGATTGAGTGTCGAAGAAAACCTGCAACAATTTTGCGCGCAAGCCTCGAACCGAACCAACCACTGAGACTGCCACTTCACCTGATGTAGATGCGGAGACCTGCAGCTTTGGCATCCAACGAGTCACGCACCCTAGCGAATTTAGCGATTTGAAAGGGACCGAGAGAAATTGTCCTTGAGCAAGCGTTTTTCATTTCGATGTCATGTAATCTTTACTGGATGTGTGTACGTGGGTTTCGGGGCAAGATATTTTACTACAATTGCGGCGCGTGCTGTTTTGATTGCAGAAGAAAAAATGTGGCCAGGCCTGCCCGCCGCTTAAGGGAATATTCATTTAAGAACGTCGAAGTTTTGTCGGAGCATATCTAAACACAACGGCAAGCCTGTTTGACACGCGTTGCAGAGAGTTCAACTCTCGGGCCCCGACTCCCTGGTCAGGGAGCCCCCCAAGTAAACTGGAGTCCCTCGGGTTCGAGCACTACTCTAGACCGCTCCGTCTTTCGCATTGTTTTCGAGAGAACTTTCACTGAACTATAGAGGACGGATGACCCGGGAGCGTAGAAGTAGAAGAGGGTGTGCGTAGTAAGAGATGTGTATAAATACCTTTGAGAGTCTTTTAGCTACACTTGCATGTATGCTGACGCTACAAGTATACACGCAGCCGCTCGCGCGTTTCTAGAGTTGCTGCTACGGATGTAGAAAGATAAGGCTCGTGGACACCGCCAGCTCCCCAGGGACACGCCGAATCTAAACCAGCATGTTGTCTTTCAAACTTCCCCCAATGGCACGGACTCGCGCAAAAGCACTTTCCACCACAGCCGCGCAAAACTCCATGGCGCAGCGACATCGCAGATGGAATTTGGCAACAAAGTGCGTGGGCGCTGCCAATCATCCCGCTCCCCAGCGAGACGCCAGCATGTTTACCTTCCCCCAATGGCACGGACTCGCGCAAACGCACTTTGCACCGTGGCCGCGCAACCATGGCACAGCGACATCACAGACGGAATTTGGCCGCCACTTTAAATTTTGTACCACCAGCCAGTTCTGATGAGCACAGCTCCCAAAGCTTCTTCCCGCAACGATCCGTCGACAGATTTTATACACACTTTGGCAACCTCCACCTTCATTTTTGGGCGACAGCTACAGCTACACGCAACCTGCCGCAACCCCCACCTTCGTTTTCGGCGACAGTTAGATGCTTTTTGGCAACCTCCATCCCCGTTTTCGACGACAGTCGACAGTTACACACTTTGGCACAACCTCCATGCACCTCCGCTTTCGACAACAGGTACACACTTTAATACCAACTTCCAGCTTCCGGCACCATTCGCAACGACAGTCAAACACAAATGGGCAACTGCCACCATCAATTTCAACAGCGTGCAGTCACTGACTTCGGCAACAAAGTTCGCCATTTCGCCTCACGTGAACCCCCGACCTCAGCGCTCAGGCAAGGTTTTGCATTCTCGCCTCACGTTAGCAAGCACTTGACACGCACGATCTCTGCAAACGATTCACCGCGCTCACGCAAAATTTGAATTTCGCATCAATTTAAGCACTCGACACGCACGATCTCCGCAGAAATTTCATCCGGCACAGCCGAAATTAAATTCAGTCACGTTTCGCCTCAAGTTTCAGCGCTCCACACCCGGACCCACGATCTTCGCAGATGGTTCATCCCACGCAGCCGGAATTTGCATCCCGCCTCACGTTTGAACACCCGCCCCGCGCGATCCCCGCAAAGGGTTCGTCGGGCTGATCTTTACGGAAAACCCTTCGCAGGAGCTTTGAGTCCCTGGCGTCCTTAAGGTGGTCAGCCGACGAGCCGCACCATTTCAGATCTCCTGATGAATCAGAAAGGGCCTCGTCAGGAAATCGTCGCTGCGTAGTACAACATGTGATTCACCTGAAGAAAAAATAACTGTTGTAATGAGAAGCCAGCAGCATGGGCCGTCTCAGACAACGGCACCTAAAGAAATCATTTCAAACAATGAAAGGCGCCTGTTCTTTCATCGGAAAATGCTCAGAAGGATATGAACATGAAGAGCATTGAAGAAACTCTTGGCTGCCTCGATATCTAACGCCACACAGGCTACTGGCTCACCCTTCGCGTTCTTGATCAACAACTTTGCCCTTCAGAGAGGCCTCTCCTGGGTCCTGTGGCAAAGTCACAGGCCCAATCCTGAGCGCAAAACATGAGAAAGTAGCCGCGCACGCTTGTAGTTTGCCGCTACGAGTTCTTGGCTTCCAGCTCTAGCCTCATGGGGCCCTTTGCCTGCTGGATAGCCGGCAGGTCACGTCAAGAGGTCTACTACAAAGGTCTAAGCGACCAGCAAAGCCAGGAGATACTGTGTATGAAGATTGAGATTTAACAGCCTCAGCGTAAAGCTACAGGTACTGCAAGTTTAAGAAACGTGACCGCGCTTTGTCCAGTGCTTGAAGGCCCGGCTTTGTCCACAACCCTCAAAGCGTGCACCTCCAACGGCGGACGACGGACAATAAACCTTGATGGTATGAAATATGACCAAGACCTGACTCAGCAACTGTCACTTGTTGTCACCCACCAAAGCCCACATCCCCACCAACCTCCAGGTCCACATCCAAAGTCCCACCAATGTGGTCCTGGCGCTCAAGTTGGCAGCAAATGCCCCAAGACGAAGTGGAACCAAATTATTTACCCAACACCCCTGTACTGTAGTAAATCCACAACCAAAGATACCCAATGCGACACAAAACTGCCGCAGGGGCTAGCGGCAGAAGTTTCAAACCAAGAGCGCGGCTACACGCAAATGCAATGTACTAGTAGCATTATGGCGATTTTCACGACACTTTTTCGACCTTCCGAGGCCCCGTCGCGCTGCCACTCACAAGGCAATCCAAGATCTTTGGCTCAGCCCATCATCATATTAAATAGCTCACCCAGGGCCTGCAGTCACTGCTCTTTTTGAGACACTATACGGCATCAAAAACTTTCGCAGGTGAGCGCCCATGAAACGTTGTGGCCACAACAAAGAATTCCTCATTCTTGACCTCTTCCCAAAGGGCACAAGTTAGGCAACCCATTGATCCGGTCTCTGAGGTCTGAGAAGTCAAGCCCTTGCACGCTTCTGGCACTGCAAAAAATGCGCCTGGCAAATGGGACGTTGAAATGTGGCTACCTGCAGGGTCGGGCCAAAAAGCTCTGCCTCAAGACCACGATCAAAAGTGGCTCGTCTCAGCCTCAAACCGATATTGACAGCGAAATTTGGGGGGGGGGGCCACCAGACCAAGTCCTCCAGATGGCAGCAATGACAACAATCTTGAAAACGCTGACACGTAACTGGCATTCATCGATTCATCGAGCAAATACCCAGCAAAACCACAGGCGTGCGCGCGCCAGCTTCACGATGGAAGAAGGCTGCGGCGCGACGATCATCTGCAAAGAGATTTAGCGCGTCAAGGACCCATTCAAAACAGGCCCTGGAATCTGGAAGTGAGATTGCGGCCCACTGCGAGACCTAATGGGCGCAAGGCAGGTGGCTATCCAAAGAAGCCAGGCGCAACAGGATTGGACCACCAAGCCTGCAAGACGGGCCAACCGGCATGCTCTCGAATTGGAACCCCCAAACGGCGGACCTGTTTGGACAGCACTTCTTCCAGTTCGTGCCTGGGCGTCTTGCCAGACCATTCCTGGACGAAGTTCACCAGCACGACGTAGGCTTCCAAATCAACCGTCAAGGTTTTGCCAAACGCACGTCGGCCGCTAGGCTGGGGCAGTGTGTGGACGCCTCGAACCCCTTGCTCGGCGATCTACGTGTTGCGTGAAGGCAAAACTGATTCCTTCATTCAAGGCCTGCTAGTACACGAATTTCAGCCCAACGGGCGTGGCTTTGCGCAGAGTCTATCCCTGTCCTGCCATTCACAATCTTCAATCCAATGCGCTTCGGTCAAACAAAGGACGTCCAGTGGGCACGCGCTAAGAAAAGTCCTCAAATCTCTACCCCAATGCAAACCTCCTCCATTCGCAAGCATGTATTCAACGCTGTTGTGTTTGGCCTCCAGGTCTCTGGGTCAAAGGCAGGCTGCGCGGGCGTAATCCGAAATGTGGAATCAATCTACGTCAATTGTGCCAGCTGTCCAAGCCTGAGTGCAAGCGCAGCGAAATTTAATGTTTCCTGAAAGCTGCTCTTGAGGCTGCACTGGACTAGCCTCAACCCTCGCGCCAAAAAGGACGACTTCAGGCGCAACGACCTGTTCCCGGATTTGGGACCGGGTCTGCAGACGGCGGCCCGCCCACGCGCCATCACCACAAACAATCGCTGCGACCAAAGGCGCTGGTGATCTTCTCGAACCGCATTGGCGCTTCGATTTTTTGTGGAGTGATGTGTGATGTGATTTGTGGTGACTGTGGTCAATTTTTGCGAATTCAGAGTTTGGGGGGATCTCTGTCTGTGGGCATCTGGCCCTTAAGGTCTTGCACGCCACATCCCTTTAACGAAAACATGAAGGTGTTCTTTTTGCACAAGTACCTCCAAACAGGTCGTTTGCAGATGTATATACATATATATATGTATATATATATATGTATTTATTGCATTTATTTTTGGCAGGTGCACCCTGAGTCTGCGCTTTTTTTAAAATTTAGTTTTGGGAATGGTTTAGTGCACTTGACAAATGTACATTGATTTTCAAGTAAAAACTTAACTAAACTAACTTTGTGGAAAGCGATAAAAAACATGCACTTCTTAACCAAAAAACATATAGTTTTGCATGGTCTTTTCCTTAGCTATTCCCAATCAATTAATGACATGAAACAGACATCCATTTTGAACTTGTAGCGATCAAATTCCATAGCGCAAGTAAAGGTTTCAGGTACTTTGCACCCGAATCTCCAGAGCGCAAGTAAAGGCACAAGTGGAATTTCACAAGGACAAAGATATATATAATATAGAACGTGGAACCCACAGCACAAGTAAAAAGAGAAGTGCAATGTCACTAAAAAAATGTATATTGCGCCTGGTTTTCCTGAGCACAAGTAAAGGCACACATGCAAATTGACAAGAACAGAAAAGGAACACTCTGTTTTTCAAAGTTTGCTTTGCAGCCGCGAGAGGCGTCGCT